CAACATAATGTATTGATAAGGCGTGTTATTGATTCACATGTCAAGCCGGTTAGTTTGAATTTATAGAGGTTAGACTAAAGTGCATAAATGCACGGTTAAAATCTACCGATCTCAACGAAACTTGAAAATATTTTTTACGTCGATACACTCATTTTCTTTATGGACAACATCGTGAAGGGATTGTGCCATAAAATCAAATTGCACGTATAAAGGGTAGTCATTTGTAAGTTTGATGATTCCCACCCGTCAAGGAGCACGGAATACATAAACCTGAAATGGATATTTTGAAATTGGTGCAGCTGGAAAGTACGTTATGATATTAGATAAAAATGGTTATCCCTCATTTCATCAATTATTCAAAGTAAGATCGAGAAATATGATGTTGCGGATGTTTGATACGGATAGGTTAAATTCAATGCCTTTTTTTTTTTCAAATAAAATGCGGCATTCAAGATTCTTCTCTCTTGACAAAAAAAAAAGCCGATGGAATAAGACTCATCAGTTTCGCAAGCGATAGATATGTCAACGCTGAAATTGAGGGACAAAAAAGTGGTTAAAGCAACAGTCTTACTCGTATCCTTTATTTGCTTTACTCGAGATAGCTAATGGAAGTTACTCAGTCTCACTCTTATTTGGACGTATTTCTGCCAAACGGAACTATGTGCAGTATGACGTGAGCCCTGTTATGCATATATTCCTATGAGTCTCAGGGCTCATGTCTCAATGCACATAGTTCCGTTTAGTAGAAATACGCCCATTTGACGACAAAATTCCCCTACCTCGATCGTATCGATTGTTGTCATGGGAACGGAGTTCCCCATGATATTAGAATCGTTCCGTTGCTTTCGCTATGGGATTCCCTATACCTCTGCGACCTTGAGCGTTTCGCCCAGTCTCCGATTTTTGGTTGATTTTCCGATGTATCAAAAACCGTTGTATTTTTTAGCCAATCATGTCTCTACGTCAAGTTGTGTTGATTGCTAAAATTCGCTTTCAGCGAGTTTTTTTCCACCTTGAGATGTCGTGTCTGACTGGTAAATCTGCGCAGAACCACGAAGTTCCGTTTTTAGGCAAATTCTTTTTTTTGGGAGGTTCTGATTGGTTATTTTTCGCCATCAGTTTTCTGTTCGTTGGTGCAAAAGATCGCCTACCTCGTTGCTCTTGAGAAGCCGCCATTATCCCACCTCAAATTTTAAACATAGATATAAAGAAATAATAACCATCGTACAAGGTGGAAAATTGCTCTGGAGGACCCGTTACGGATATATGAGCCAAAATCAGAACTCGATTGATGGATTTAATCCATGAATACAGAAATATTGCCTGAGCTTACTGCCGCGATCGCAAATGCCTGTTGATATGAACCTCGTGACACATGACAGCATAGGTAAACAATGTCTCACAGAGTAATGCGGTTGATCCGTTGTGTCTTATCACGCCAGTGGCCGAACCGTTGAAATCTCAAGGACGTCTTTTGTGAAGCCCCGCTCAGCGTCCGAGATCACTTAAGTGTTCTCTTTTTCTCCATGCATATCTGAGCAGCGAAATAGCTCAAATGGCTGCGTTACCTTTCTGCCTCTGGGAGAGTGTCACTTTTTGTGCGAGCGGGGGTTCGAATCTCGTAGGGGACAGCTAATTTTTACTGGTTGTATTGAATGTTTTAGACCAATAATCTAACAATAATTAATACTTGGCAACTTAGGAAGCACATAGGTCCCTTATGATGCGTATTCGGGCATATGTGTAGAGTAAAAATATCATACGTAGGGTGTCCCAAAAGTACCGGGACTGGTTCTGTAACTTCAAAAGTAAGATAGATACAGACATGATTTTGGTCTCATTTTAAAGATCAACTCAATACCTATCGATTAAAACCAAGATCAGCTCAATCGAATAAAAATTGACCGAGTTATGACAATTTGAAATTAGTGAGGAAAGTTTACCCCTACGGTTTTTAGGAAGATTTTTCGCTTACCAGGATTCAAAAAGTTAATATTCGTATCCACTTTCCTCCGAATCTTCCATAACTTCCTTTTGCTTTTCAAAGTACCGTCCATCAAACCGGATGCACTTTTTCATGCGCTCTTGCCACTTATCCAACATTGTTTTCCTGAATTCTTCCTCTGGGATGGAGTTGAAGAAGTTTTGAATTGCATTCTGGATTTCGGTCTTCGATACGAATCTTCGTCCGCGAAGCTCCTTTTTAAGCGTAGGAAACATCCAAAAATCACATGGAGCCAAGTCAGGGCTATAAGGGGGATGAGGGATTGTTTCAACTCCATTTTTACTCATAAATTCACGTGTTAAGCTCGATGTGTGAGGCCGCGCATTGTCTTGATGGAGTATCCACGAAGCTTTCAAGTCCGACCGTTTCCGGGAAATGTGCATTCTCAACTCCTTTAGTACTTTGCAATAATACGCACTGTCAACTGTTGTGTTTGATGGTACAAAATGTTGATAAATGACACCTCGAAAATAAAAAAACACAATAAGCATCACTTTATCGGCCGACTTTTCGATTTACGGCGATGAAGAATCTTCCTTAAAAACCGTAGGCGTAAACTTTCCTCGCTGATTTCAAATTGCCATAACTCGGTCAATTTTTATCCGATTGAGCTGATCTTGGTTTTAATCGATAGGTATTGAGTTGATCTTTAAAATGAAATCAAGATCATGTCTGTATCTATCTTACTTTCGAAGTTACAGAACAAGTCCCGGTGCTTTTGGGACACCTTATGTATACTTTACGCCGAAAAAGCGAACCTGAAACTTAAATGCGTTAACTTCCGAAAACCATATATAATCCAACGAAAATAAATAATTGGTACATAACAGCTTTCTTGTATGCAAAGAAAATAATTAAAAATGTTAAAAAAGAGATGTCAACACAAAATTACATAGCCCCTTCAATTCAGAAGATACTACAAACGAACTGTACCTTAACATTTTCATATCCCAGAAGCTAACGTTCCCATGACGAATATTGCTATCGCTAGCGATTGCAAAATCCAACTTGTTGCTTTTTAGATTCGCCAAATTGTAAGAAAACCTTTTTTTTTTTTGGTTTAAAACAATTTATACCTCATCTTATTTGCCGCTGAATAAATGAGGAACTACTTTTGAGTACTGCTACTCTGATACGGCGAGGAAAAAGAAGAAAGAAAAGCACGTTCAGTTTAACGGGGAGGCGTCTTTTTTTGGAGCCTCCAACGACAAATAACGATCCTAAAACGTCCATTTTTAGCACGGATACTCTGCAAACCTACAGAATAATTTTGAATCGTGGATAAAAAATGTGAATTACAGCACACCGTTGATATTTAAAATTGAATTCAAAACGCGATGAAAGCTCAACAAGACTGACACCCGCCCACCTTTTCATCGCTTTTCGCCTTTCACCTTTGTTCACCGTCTAGCTGAAACCACTCGTGAAATGACATCTTACATCAAACGCGTATTCGAGTAATTTTATTCTGAAGCGAAAGAAAAAAGCGGTCTCATCCTATCTTGTAAGTCGTCGCCTCCTCACTTGAAAGAATCATCTGTGGATGCTGCCTGTAAAAGGATATGCAAGGAATAGAAACTCTTATACTTTTCTCACAAAACGTGAGATAGTGTCGAATTAACTCCCCTTTTTGTCATTATAACTATTGGATTTCGATAACAGATTGTTGGGTTCATGAGAAATTGTGAACTTCCAAAAACGTGATCGATGAATTTGTGAATTCTTTAAGAGCATAAAACGATGTCTCTAACATAACCAACACGAAGTAAGAGGATTTCAACCGAATCGACAAAACGCTTAAGAAGAATCATCTGATAATTATCACGGTATCCCTGTTAGTATGAATGTCAGTCAATTAGTGATGTTAAATTAGATATTTAATCAATCAAAATATATCAATATAGGTTTTCTTTTTGTGTTTGCATTGATCACCTCCTAGTGTACATTCAAAGTACATGTATTCATTACACTAGAGTAACATACAACTGATAATAATTTAACCATCCGATATTCATCCGAGCGGAAAAAACATTCATACAACCGTGTAAGAGAGATAAATGGCTTGTTTTTCGTGGTTTGGTTCACATCTGGCACCAAGTTTCACGAACATCGATCAAACAGGAGCCAATTTAGAATTTTAAGCCACATCTCTCATCTTGGATTCTCGACTTTTGAAAATTTGAGTTGAAAAAGTTTTCCGTGAAACATGCCACCTGGTACCAATTTTCACAAAAATCGTTTGAACAGGGGCCGCATATCGTATTCAGTAGGACTCCACACTGTGGAAAACGATGCCAGTCACTTTAAATACGTTGGTGCGCCTTCATTTTCGTCTGATACTGTGCAATACCTCCGAGGTGGAATAGTTGCTTGGATCGCCTTCAAAAGTGGCGCGTCGACTTGATGGCGATCACGATTACTGCCGATTTCACACTTTAGCGTTTGCGTTTTCCTATCACCGACGGTGAGATTACATTTATGCCTTAATTTGCAACGTTGCAAGTTTTCCACTGCCTATTTTATCCAGGTACAGCGATGTGAACACTTTAAAATCTGTTGTGATTTTTCGCGTTGTAAGATGAGAAATATTATGATAATGTTTCATTCAAGTCTACTTGTAGGCTTTTGTTAAGAATGAAAATATAACTGGACGTATTTATACAAAAAGGAACCATGTCACACTTAGGCACATAGGTCCTTTTAGCATAAATACGTCCAAGCATGAGTAGGAACTTGCCAAAAGGGTGAAAAGTAGTCGCTTCGGGGACTCTTGCAAGTTCAGGGAGGCAAATTCTATCGGCAACCCTCGCCCCTGAGCTAGTCCGCCTCTGGTTGACGTAAGATCAATTTTGAGTATGAGAAATTATTTCCTGGAATTTTATCTAAATTATGGAGGGATAAGTAAATCTTTCAAAAATGTCGGGGTTTTCTTCAATTAGCTTAAAAGAATTTACGAACCATACCAACAGCTCATTGGTTTTCTTATTTGTTTCAGGTAATCAAGATAATTGTCCACATCTGTCGCCTGTGAGTTTTAACTTCCTATTACTTTAAAAGCACTTTTCAAGAATATACTGTTTGTGCGTGGATTCTAAAATGGCTCCCTTTACGTAATAAAATCATCCGAATAATTTAGTAACAAAAAAACTAACCATTACGATACATGCATAACATACGCTTTGAATACTCACTTGCTCTTTAAAACACCCGTTTAAAAAGGTTCATTTGTTGTTGTCGTTGTTATTGTTGTTGTTTTTGTTGTTTATATGTTTTTGTTAAGCGCGAAAGTGCAATATCACATGAAGGTGGTCATTTAAAGCGCCGCATACAGTGGACAGCGTCAATTAGAGAGGTCGGACATGAAATTTTTGACTTAAACTGCAAATTTTTATGTTTATTTCGTCACATTTCAAAATTCTGGGGCGTTCTTCCTCAACAGGGCAGAATAGACCTTATTTGTAGTGATCATCTATTTGTGAAAGAAAAATACAAGCGTATTTTAAACGGAGTCACACTGACAGCGTCGCAAAACCATAGCTCATTATATCTCGTAACTCGTGACGAGGAACAAAGTTGCTTGTTTCTTCGTTTCTCTGATGTAAGGAAAGGAGTAACTCCACTTTGCTTTGAGCCTTAGAAAACATAGAAAACGAGCGAGAGGTTGCATCATTGTCAATATGCAATTACGTCCTTACGTCATAGGAAGAGTCGATTCTTACGACCTTATCTCGATTACCGACGCACGATCCTTTTCCAGCAAATATCAGAGGCGAGAAGTCGTGATTCGATTACTCGAGTTGGTAGGAACCCGTGGCAAATTCAGAGGAAAACTTACGCCTCATTCTTATTCGCTCGTGGAAAAGCAGCTCATTACAGGATGTCACAGAGCAGTGCATCTACAAAGACTCAATGACTTTAAAGTGCAGTTTCGTGATGCACTCGTGCCTTGGGACCGCCTTGAAATTGAGTAGGTAAGTTAGCAAAGGTGAGGAAGTGCAGTGGAGACGGGACTGGATTTCAAGAGTTTGTACATGGTGTCTTCCAGGACTTGCAGTTGGTGCGGGATGCTTCGCCCTTACACTCAGTAAATCTTGGGGGACAAAGAATACTTTCTTTCCATTTTGGAACAACTAATGAGATTTTGAAATTTTTAACTTTTAAAATATTTAATTCATTTTTCTTCTTCCGGAATGCACCAGCGATACATACTGAGAATTCAAATACAAACCTGTTATAAATTGTATTACAATTATCAATCCTATATAATATATCGCAAAATTTCAAAAGAAGGAGATTGGGATGTGACTCCAAATATTTAATCAACACTTTAATCCATTTTTTGGCAAATTCATACGTTGCTTGAAGCGGCGCGGCGGGCGAGGGCGACCAGCGTGACACGCGTATTGACGCCTACAAACCTAACAGGGATACTTCACGCATTGCGCAATGCGTGAAGTATCCCTGTTAGGTTTGTAGGCGCCAGTGCGCGAGTCGCGCTGACAGCACGCTTCGCTGTGCTGCTCCGATCTGCGTTGGGCTCTATAATATTTAAACTCACGGAGTCAGCGTTTGTCAACTCATGATCTTGAAGTGTTTGCACATTCTGCATTGATTATACACATTTAAATGGACAAAAAATATTTTGAAACTATTTTAATTTCAATATCGTCATGAAAATATTTTGTTAAAGGTGACAATATTTTCAAAATATTTTGTGTTAACTGGGTAATAATAAGGAAAAAGTGGCCTGAAAGGTCTCGTAGAAAATAAACACGTACACAAAGTACCAAGGTCACTTTTTTCTCATTACTTTATTATACATATACAAGAAAAAGCGTTAAATCCAGACCACCGTGAAATCAAAGGCGTGGCGTGCTCTGCGATATATCGATTGATCTGCCATTAAAGCCTATGGGAAAGGATCAGATAGGATGGGTGTCTGCAAGGAACACCTCAATAATCGATTCTTTGTCAAAGCTTCTAATGCGGAAATATCGAAAATCGATTATTCACGCCTCGCCACTGCGTGAAAGTTGTGTACTTCGAGCAACGCGTGCCATTTTTCAACCCTAACGAGAGGCGACACTTTTGACATTCGCGAAAAGTCCCTCACGGCCAGCAAACGATGCATCGTTGGGTGGGGAAACATGCGTAATTGGCGTGAGAGATACACTCGATGACGTGATTGGGGGAAGGAAGAGGAGGAGGCAAGGTGAATAATGAGGGTGTTCGGCGTAAATTGATGTCGGGCTGGTCCCAGCCGAAAACCCATTTGCGCGATATTGCAGCCATATATTAGAAAAATAACATCATACTATGACAGATTTTCCGAATATCAATTTAGGGCACAGAGATTGTTGCACATCTGCATCCATTCAAAATCATCTTTTTAGAAGCTTGTAATTCGTGTAGCCACATGAATTTGTCTCGCCACACAGCAATAGATGGAATATAAAGCCCTGTTTATACTGCACTCTCACGGCTTGAGATGCAACTCAGCTTCATCTAATCCGCATATCGACGGTGAAACTACCAAACCACGTATCTCGGTTTGCGACGTCGCAGACTTCCTGTCATACTTTATTTTTTAAATGAAAAACTACTTAATATCCAGTCTTGAAAATGTCTGTGATTTTTTCTCTTTGTGCGGAGAAAATTCCGTGAAAATTTCAAGGAATGATATTGATTTGATCTACTTCAAAAAAATAAAATGTGAGCGTAGATTTTTAAACACCGCAAACGAGATACGTGGTTTGGTAGTTTCACCGTCGATATATCCTTGCATATTGTGAGACAAACGTGCGATCGAAGAAGCATAAAAATGCTCCGAACAATACAAGCAAATTATATTTATTCCGATGATGATTACTGCCTTGAATAAGCGATGCAGAGGAGACCATTCTTATAACACGGTTCGAAAAGACATTCAAATGCTCCTCGTTTGCTTTGGTTTAGAATGAGTGCGGTGTACCTAGTTTACGAGTTTTATCATTCGTGTATTGTATGTTGTCTTCATTTTGAAGTTTGTAAGGTCTTTGCGATGCATTGTTCCAAAATCTTAATGACTTCGTCTCCAACATTGGGCAAATTATGGTATTCAAGTCGTTACATAATTCATCGCGTTTTAAAGAAAAAAACGGTCAAGTGCTTGAAACGGAATGTAAATATACGTTGGATATCTAATTTTATTCACTTGAGACCTAATACAAATAAACTGACTTTCTGTTCGTATTTCTCTTAATGCACGCTCTATCGATAAAAATGAGTAAACCGAATCACACGCATTTGAGCCTTTACTGAATATGATATCCGAATAACTTTCCAGTCGACAAATCGCATCAGTATTTCTTGGTTGATTTGGATCAAGGGATGAGGACACAGTTAAAAATACAAGCGCTGAATCTCTATCTTTAAAAATTTTACTAATTCGACCGCAAAGTAATCCGTTGTATTTTTAATTCTTACGTCATTACTGTGATATGAAAGTAATTTAGTGTATAGGTAAATTTAAAAATTTGAACTGACATTTTCACCGTTGTTATCAATTAACGTTTTTGCTCTTTTTGAGCTTGGTTAAAAATCAGAATCAAATGCAATAATTCAGTTCTTTGCAAAACTGTGTAACAGCAAGAATGATAGCAGCGCCACTTTAACATTAAGCAATTGCGAGTGAGAAGGGTACATTCTTCTGAAGAGCAGGTAATTCGAATAAAGTAAACGAGTTCTATTTTCGAAAACTAAAGGGAAAAAAGAAAGAATTTTTTTTTTTTTTTTTGAATTTATAAATTATGGTCTCGTGAAATATGAAGAGGGGAGGGGAGGGGTGTGTTTGAAAAGCTTTAATGATGCACGCTGGCCTTTCATAAAAAAGGACTACCCTACATGGAAACATTTAAACGTCCACAGTGGCAATGCTTTGAGTTCATGACAATGGGTTTTTTCTCGTTAAATGTATCTAAAACGCCGATATATCACATGATTAACGTAATAATTGATTCAAACACAGAAAGAAAGTTCTACCAACTTGACAGAATTGCCACCAGAGGTCGGGGCTGTCACATTCTTATGAATTTCACAATGAAGTAGGACAGTTGCTTATCAAGTTAGAAGCACACCTGTATACTCCTAATGTACTCTTGTGAATCCCCTTGTAATTCACTCAGCTGCAGTTTTCATTTTCCGACCTCTTCGTAACTCTTGATGCTGCACTGTCACACCGCGGCAAAAGCACGCACTCGCACGGATTTACAATTGCAATTGCGCGGTTCTTGGTGGTGCTTTTTTCGCGCGGTAGGGCTGCACAGTACACACACCACTCGCACGGGGCTTATGTAAGCTCGCCATCAACTTGTTACGCGAGTCCGAGGGAAACTACGGGATGCCCGGGGAATTAGAGCAGCTTAATTGACCGAAACGAAACGAAGTCATTACAGTTTTTGCAGCTGGCTAATGCGCCCGACGACCGCCACCGTTGTCGCATCAAGCCGCGTTCCTCCCAAGTAGTGCGTACTTCCAGAATTTTTTGTGTGCTAACCCGCAACCTGATTTGCTACAACTTTTTGCCCGGTGCGACTGGGTCTCGTCTGTGTCATTTCGTCGCTTCTCTGACGTAAGAGCGTATCTCGGTTTTCACGTGAGCCCTGTTTCTCATATAAATCCATTCTTTCTGGGGCTCCTGCGGAAATCAAAATACGCCCTTACGCCAGGCCGAGGAGCGACGATTTCTCCCTTCAACCTTGTCCCCATCGCCCCTTTTTGCCATCTTGCCCCGTTATTGCAGTTTGAATGCACCGCTTGCCACAAAATAAGCGTGGTGCTTCGTTCCGCTGACTGTAATCCATCGTTTTGCGTGTCCGATCGTTTTGATCGATCGAGATGGATTCTATTTCTTTCTGGATGGATAACCGTTTTGCATACTCGAATAAAGAATTGAAGGCGAATCGGCTTTTCACAATGTTCGTTGTTGCAATGCAATGTTTACAATGACGTCTGAATGCCACTGTTCGTATTCGATGGATATCCATTTTGCATACCCCAAAAAAAGAAGGCGAACTAGCATTCGTAACGATCATACTTCCAATGTACGTTGGCGGTGACGAAGCAGCGAACAGTTTGAACAGAAGGGAGATTCGTTTTGCATGTGTAAAAAAGAAAATGGAGGTGGAAATGGTTAGTGACAAGAAAACACCCATGTTTACAAGATGTCACCTGAAACGAGCCGTCAAGCTTTGAATTCAATGAGAGTAATATGCGTCAAGTTCAGCAACCCCTAATATAAATACATTGATTTAATTTATTTTAAACCGCATAAAACGGTCAAAGCACACTTTTTAGAATAAAATCAGTCGAAATAAAAAAGAAAGTTCCATTGCGAAATCGTTCAATAGTTTCAAAACTCAAAATGAGGGTCTTGAAGAACAAAGCACTTAAGTGCATTTTTTGTTATTTCAAGAGGTACGTGGTTGAATTTTCGAAATTATATAGAGCCTTATGGCGGGGAGGAAGTCTAAAGTCACATTTTGATGCTTTGCCATTGGATTTAAGTTGTGAATTTTTCACAGAATACTTTCAAACTAGTTTTCGTTGAGTTCATGAATATCTCAATTTATTAAAAAAACTGTACTCATGTGCCTTGTCCTCCAAGCCCCTCAGATTGAGATTATATGAATTGTATTTATACCTACTCATTGGTTCAACTCAATTGGTTACTTTTTAGAAAACAGAGGAAAAATAAACCAGAAACAAACACAATTTCAGAAAATAAATGCTCATTCTCGTGCATTGACAACGTGGATGTAAATCTTATAAATTTATTTTACTGGGAGGCATACTTTAATGTGATGAAGTGGGAGAAGAGGTTTTTAATTAATTGAGATGAATAAAAAATGTTTGTGAGAGTCTCAGAACGATACTTTTTCATCTCCGCCACTTGAGTTCCAGACAAGACGCTTCAGGCAATTAGTCAACGGCGAGAAACAATCGTAAATTTCTCGTTTTTTTGTTTAGCAATGATTCAATTGTTATTGTTAGCAACGAATGCTTAAGCGTTTCACCTTACTAGGTCTCTCAGCCTTTCCATTTCGCTCTTCTATCATATTTCCATGTACTTTTTACTATAAAGTTTGGATAAGAAGGAAGGAAAGAGGGTTCCAGGACTTTATGTCCACTAAATTCATATGTCCACCGCCTTTATGTCCGAATAACAATATGCTGTTCGTAATTTCTATTAGTCGTCATTCGGGCGTTGCACCCATCCCGTTGCTCACAACGCCAGTACGTACTTTTACCATTTTTTGAATTTGAATGAAATTGATACACGAAACTTTGATACGATATCACAAGCTTGTTTTTTTTGGAGGTTATCAGCTCTGCCATACTTGTTTAAAAACAGAGATCAAGGAAGAAAGTCCGGAAGTAGTAACTGCTTTTTTCATATTTTTCAAACTTTCAATTTTGGTTAAAATGCTTACCACCCGATTTACTTTTTTTAATTAGTTACCTCATACTTAAAACTTTTACGGGAACTGCACGATTTAAAGAGTTGCAATTTTACGCTGGAAATTTAGATACTTCTTGAGCAATACTTTCCCTCCTAGTCCTTCATTTTCTATGGCAACGCATATCAGCTGAATTGACTATTAACAATAACCTTCAAAAGCGTTACCGAGCTTCTGCTATGCAATAGGTCCTTTCGAACACACATTCGATTATATTGGGCCTACCGTGGTATGTAAATACTGTGGACATAAAATACTGTGGCCGTAAGTGTGGTGGACATTAACTTTTTGGACATTCAAAATGGACATAAAAGCGGTGGACATACGAATTAGTGGACATAAAGTCCGTGAACCGGAAAGAGTGGATATTGAAAAATCGAGATGTAGAGGTTGCTTATGCCTACAATAAGAAGGTGATTCTCAAAGCGGGAGAGTTTGGCAATGTGAAAAAAAAGTAAGTCTATGTGAAATTATGACAGAGTTTCAAGAAATTTGGAAGAAAGATGCTGAAAAAATTTGGGCTAAATTTTGCTATTAGGAACTTGAATGTCTGGCTTATGTCAGAAACAGCACATGTGACATAAGTTTTCCTATGCAGATAGGTGCTTTTATACATGAGCCTGAAATTGTAGTTCCTAATTTCAAAATGTAGTTCATGAACTCACCATAAGCCTCTTGCGATGACTGGATGAGAGACGAAACATTCGCTGCACCAAAACCTGGTAAAGTACCAAAAATGAGTCAAAATCACTTGGAATTTCATTAGATGGTTTCCTCATACATATATATACTTTGAATGAGTTTAAAAATGTTCAACCAAATCAAATCAGTTTAGTTATGTTGCCAAACAACAATGAGAGTAAAAAAAAACGTTCGTTTTTCTGTGAGTTACATTGACAAAATAAATCTTTAGCTTGAAAATTTGGATCGCATAGGTGATAGTCCAGTACGCTAGTCATCCCCAAGTTCCACTGTCTGATGACGTCGAGAGAAACAAGAGTACACTATGGTTCAGCAGGTCACCTCCTTCATCCTCAGATGTCTTACAGTGACCTACGGTTTCGGTCAATATACAGCCAAAAATTTGGTCGACCAACCGAGTCCTTCTGGTTTATCTGGCCGCAAAAAAGTAGCAGAAAGTAACCCAAAGCAAGCAAAGACACGGACATGTTTAACCGTGTACCGGAGGGTACAGGGGGCTTGGACCCCCCCCCCCTTAGCCTCGTTAATTTTACCTTTTTTTGACTTTTGGAGGGCAGAATAAAATATTATCAGGGACGTACGCAAAATAATGTAAATGGATCCCTCCCCTTTTGAATAATTCCTAGCTACGCCATTGCTCCAGATTCTTCCGCCGTACAAGCGAAACTCGATTTTTGCGGTGCCCGGGGGTTGTTTCCGAGTAGCGCGGCGTGAGAACTATTCTCAGCCGGACGAATAATACACATTAATCAAGGACCCGCACGAACGCGGCGAGGGAGAGGGAGGGGGCGCGGGGAGAAAAAAGGGTGAGAATACGGAGACACGACAGGATTGGAAGAGAATTATCACACAAGGACGAATCGCGGTGGAGGGGGAGGGGGAGTGTCCGGGGGTCGGTTACAAACAACTTCCGATTAATGAAGATTAAACTGTCTTGCGTACCACCCGGGGTTAAACCCGCGTGCCATCTTACTGTCAAATAAATACCGTGGAGGGAGGGGGAGGGTGTGAGCAACAGCGTGTGGCGAACGACCTCCTTCCCTGCGCTCCCCCCGCCGACCCCAAAGCTCGGATAACTGCCCCGAAAATTCGTGATTAAATTAGGGCCCGGGTGCCCTCTCAACCTCGTCTGAGTTCGTTTCCCGTTGGACGCGCGGGATTTTATTCTGAGCGGAACGGTGCGCCCTATCGATTCTCTTGCGATGAGTTAGTTGCGCTAATCATAGAATTGTGTTAAGATGGTTTCAGTGGAGTACCTGTACACGGGAGAGAATACAACTCACCGTGCTACTCGGAAACAACCCCCGGGCACCGCAAAAATCGAGTTTCGCTTGTATTGCCATCTCAATCCTTTGACTACAGAAAAAGTGTGCCGCTCTCTGATTGGTCGGCTATCGAGGAGCCCCAAGTTGGTCCAATGTTGACCAAACCCCACCCTCGCTCCTAGTTTGGCCTGATGTAAACAAACAAGATGACGACAAAGTTCTCTAAAAGTTCTAAACATGAATTTAGATGTGATGGAAATTTTTTTATATCCAACTTCTGAATTGTTCGGATCGAACTTTGATGGATATTTTTTCCGAATATTAACCTTTGAGTGTGATTACCATTCATATCTGAGCCGATAATACGTGTTCCTCTGGGTCGGGATTGCTTACATTGGGCCAAATTTGGATCCCCGCATGATAGCCTAAAACTGATGAACCCATCAGAGAGCGGAACAGATATGGCAATACTCTCCCATATATAGGTACTCTAGGTTTCAGTTCATTGCTCAGCAATGATTAATATGATATGCCCAAACTCAAAATTACGTCGTCTAATTTTAACGAAGATATCGCCATTGAAAGGCACGACGTGATAATGATGTCATCCATTGGTTTCATCAACCAGGGCAGAGATACAAATTTGCGGTGGTTGGTCAACGTTAAATCAGTAAAAAACGTAAAACATCTAGGCAGAAATATTTCTTGGAGCGGGGATTGATGGACAAAAATATTGTGTTGAGGGGCCGAATGATGAAATATTCTTAAAATCGCGAATACTAACAGTTTTCAAGCAACATAGGTCCATGGGAGGAGCTACGGCCTGCTTGGCTTTTCACACTTGACTACATTGATTCAAGCCTTTTTGTCTATTTTTTTCTGTTTTTAATGGTTTGCACTCCTCTCACATTCACTAACATCCTTGGCTTTTTCTGAGTTCGTGTTGGCTTGTTTAATGAGAATAGATTTTCACTGTAAAAACAAGATAGTCAAATATGACATGGTTTTTATTAGCAATTAATCAAAGCAGCTGAATTCAAAATTGTCTAGATTAGAAGAGGCAAAACTATCACGTGAAATTGTATTCAATGTGGTGAATGTCGTAGCTTATTCAGCTCTGCCTCATTAAAATTATTCAGCACTGACCTTATTTGTAATTATTTCTTAATGGTATCTCAACAAAGTTTAAATTCATTTAAACCTGGAACCCACCGGCTAAAATAATTTTACTTTTGCCTTGAGTAAGAATCTGGAGAGTCTGGGGTACTCCCAGTCGTCACAGGGAAAATAGATGGTTTGACTAAACTTGCTTCAAAACTTCCAGTGGCCGTCTCAAGGGACGCTCCAAGCGCTTGAAAAACCTCACTGTTGCCTGTGTAGGTTTTGAATAATTAGAATTTTTAGAGTTTTAATTGAAATGTGGTTGAAAAAAGTGTCAAGAAAAGAAATAAATGCAATAAAATACCTGGATTCAACTGTACAATTCTAATTGCTCTATCCACCAATGTTTTCATAATTTTTTTAAAGACCAATATGAGGGAATGAGATCCATATTAAGCGATGATCATAAACTTGAAAAAATCTGAAGATTTTACCATCATTCTCCTCCGAAAGCTACTTCGTATTTAAATGTTGACGTTGACCCTTTTTTTGTGCTTAGAGATGTTGCGGAAGTTCAATCTCAGTTATTCAGAGGAGTTACTAAGTCGGGAAGGTGGCGATATTAAAGTTAACGCTTTTGCCTAAGAAACTATTTCTTGATTTAGACGCATATCCTGGTGTTACTCACAAAACTTCACGATCATAACTGAATTTCCAAGCGAAATGAGCCAGAGGAAAGATACCCTTTCTGTGAAAACAATAAAATAACTTTGAAGGTGATTTTCTATCTTTTAAAACTATTTTCTCATCATGTCATATTTCCATCTATGTCCTTAAATTAGTCATTAAATCACGATTGTGAAGCAAGCAAAACCTATCAGTGACTACATTTATATCCTTTATAACCCTTTCGGTTAAACGTCAAAAAATAACGTAATCAGCAATTTCTGTTTGAATTTTTTTCTTTTATCTGGAAATAGGTAATCTACGCAACGAATTATTTTCGATTTATAGAGAATACTTTTGAAAACTAATGTCTGACTGAAATATTGAAATGTTGTTTCGTACTTAAGACTAAGTAATGCTGGACCCTTGTTGTTTTAGTTTTCGTTGTATTGTTCGGGCTATTTTTTCATTTTTTGATTTATAGGTGCATGAAATTAAAAAGCTAAGTTCACTTGACATCTATGTTACGCTCTGACTTTTGCACGGCCTTGGGGGCTTGGCTGAATTTTTTAGAAACTTACTCCGCCTTCTTGCACGCGAATGATGAAGAAGGGTTCCAACACGGACGAAATTCCGATTTTGTAAAAGCAAAGAAATGCTTAAGGCCTTGGTGTCAACTGGGTGAAAAGCTTTAGTTCATACCTTTTGTCGCAGCTCCTGTCGTGTCCTTTGAGTACGAAAACATGTAGACAGGTCCAAGCATAGTCTTCAGATGAAGCATAGAAACGGTGAAACAGTATGAATCACACAAAGTGAAAGTAATTAAGGTTACAATTGATTCTTAATTTTTATTTCCTCGGAATCCCTTGGAACCTTGTAGAACCAACTTTAAAGCAGATTAATCCTTCCTTTCTAATCTCATGTTTTCGAGTTTTTTCTGAATACTCAGGATCGAATTCGGACAAAATCAGTGGCACAAGTGGTGAAAGCGAAAATCCCTGCTAAACGCAAAAACTCCACTGTGATGGTCCTCTAACCAACCAACCAACCAACCAACCAAACCAACAAGGGATCGTCCGTAATATTTTACACGTCCGAATGAGAAAGCTCAAAGTACGGCTACGGTACATGAGGAAGTCGGAGTTGAGCTCAAGCTCTGAACGAAAGGAGCTTTTCATCTTCAAGTTTGCCCATCAAGAAACATGTTTTCTTTTTGATTCTCTCCGATGATACGAGGAGCATACATAGTTAGGCGGCGGATCATATCAAGGTCCTTTTACTTTTATTACTCGTCCCATAAAAAGTTGCGCTCTCACTTATCTCCACTCCTACAGTTTGTTCTTGCACGAACTTTTTCCCCTCCCTCGTAATCACTCCGTTGCCAAGTTTAACGGTAAACTCAATATTTCACATAGATTCGGACCTCGAGATCCCACCGTGAAATAACATTGCACACGGACCTTGAAGATATAGTTTTCTGATCATCACAAAGTTCAGGAATTTATGCGTTCAAGATTCCACACAGTCAAAAATATCGGTGTGCATTTCACTCTGGGGCCTATTTTGACCCCAGAAAATCCGAATAATATGAATGAGAAGTCGAACTCCGTAAGATTGGAGGTGACTGCGTAAAAAGGTTGGCTCCGTTTTACAGAGAAGAGATTCCTCATTTTTGGGGGGCAATGGGATCCACAGTGAAATGCATGTAGGATTTTACTCAGATAATGGTTTAATTTCAATAATCGTAAGATCTAATAATTGTAGCAAAACTATCATTCGTTTTCATCAATGTGACTAAATAACAATTTTTGCAATCATCCAATGAAATTAATTTTGATTGTGCACTGTAACACGGTTCCGCAAGTGCGTAAATGAACGTTGTGTTAAAACACCGTATGGACCCATATTTCCCGTATTAGAATGTTCCCTTTTTTCAAATAAGTCTTGAAAGGTAAATGAAGTAAGCACGTTGAGGTTAGGTTGCG